ATAAATGTACTTCTTTAATTTACGTCTTTGGCGTGTTATGCTTATTACGAACTATGGCAAAGACGACAATGAGGTATAATGAAAAAATAAAAACCGCAAAATATCCACATGGATACGATCTGGGTCACCGCAATGTTAGCAGTAGGTATACACCATATGATATAAAATGTTATACTAGACGTAATATATTATATACAAAACCGAGTTAAAAAGAAGCCCTCAGTAGTAAATGTATTATATAAATATATATGTACATTTTTCACAAGATGAAAAAATTAATATCTCGGGAATTTATTTATGCAACAAAGTAACCATACATAATATTGTCATTATTGTATACTAAGCAATATGACTATAAATGGTATTTTTAAATACTACCTATACAGTATATTTTATTTCAATAAAGCTTAATCTAAGAAAATTATGGTAATAACGTACGCCGACAGCAAACTGAAATATTCAGCATATAATGCTATTGCGTAATTAAATAGAAATTTCGAATGCATTGCGCTATGATAAGAAAATAAAAATACTATCAAATACTAAAAATTTTACGGAGGAGAAAAATCGTACATACATCGTGCACATTACCAGTGTGATAACAGCTGTGATGCGATGTGTAAATATCGAATTGAAAATTACAGTGCATTTTTAAACTAGTTAATCAGGCGACACGAATGTCACTCAGTGAAAATATTTTGTCACCTAGTTGATAATATTTTGAAAGATTGAGCGAAATACGAAGAGTGAATGTGAAATACTATCATTATGCTATTATGCATTAATTGTGTTAAGACTTGAACGGTAGGGGTTTTTTTTATACTTCAAAATCGATTTATTATAGGATCAAAATTTGATTATTTAATAATAATCGCGTAAAAATATTGTTTGGAAAATAAATTACTACAATATTAACTATGTTATGCAAATAGATATATGTTTAACTACCTCGGTTTTTTCTCTGTTCATGCACACTGTTTTTTAGTTTATAATTAAATATAATTTTAATGTAAAATAATATAATAATTACGAGTAATCGCATGATACACGTATTTTCAGACGAAAGGTTATAGGAGACTAAACATACTCATATAAATATTAATAACAAAAATTAAAATCGTAGCTGTTGCACAATATTATGAACTTTTCAAAGATAATAATATATATTTTGACAAAACCGTGACTGATGTGCATTCCCCTCCAGACTTGAAGTTTCATGAACAAAAATTAAACTATACCATTTAGTATTAAAAAAAAAAAAAAAAACAAGAATTTAATATTAAAAAATTGTTGGAAAATAGTATGAAATTGTTAATAATTATCTCTGAAAATAAAATGACTGAAATTATTTATATATTTTATGGATTAAATTTATTGTGTTGAAATTTGATTTCTTAAATTTTAATCAACCTATTTGAAATTAATGCTTCCTCCGCATTCTAGTTAATTCCTTTCTGAAGTTGCTCCTGAGTTTAATGGCGCTATAAATGTAAAACGGTATTAGAATACCTACTTGAAATAAAACGTATAAAATATTTTGTGAAACCGCCCGTTTCGCATCAGTACGTACGTGCACCTGCCTGCATCAAACGACACGCGTCAATCTGCCTGTTAAATATAAATCGGAACAGTGGCGTGGCGAAAGTATTATTTAGGAGCAATTGCTACTTAAGAATTTGGTAGTGGGTCGATGGTTACTGCTATACTGATTTTTATAATTATATATTCATTATTTTAACCTATAAGACTACGTGATCGGAGTATAATTAATTGACTAATTAAGTGCACAGGAATACGAATTACGAATACCTGTAAAAATATAAAAATATGGGTATATTTTTTAAATATTACATTTTAAGTTTCGTTGATTTATATAAAAATTTAATGGAGAAAGAAAGGGTAGTCTTGTATACAACACGTCACTGAATCTGAAAACCCTTAAACCGGTTGATCGTTAGTATGGTCAGAGTGGGACAGACTCGGCCAACTCTAACAATGCATCCCCTTTAATAGAATTAATTTTCTATTTTTATATACAACTAAGTCAGCATTTGAACATTTACTACGGCGTATTTTCTTTTTATTTAGTAGGGGCAGTAAAATACATAATTATCAAGTTCGACGTGAGACCACACAATAACGAAATGAAAATTTAAATTTTTACGACGAAAAATAAAAAAAGATCGAATTATTATTTATCACAATACGTCGCCGAATCTTCGATGAATGCTTAACGCTTCTATTAATCGCTTGAAGACCTGACATTCGGTAAATATACCTCTTTTACATGATTTTACAACCAAATATTACCGTAAATTATAACAAATTTCACAGATACCTATTATACATGCTATAATATACAGTTTGCAAGCTACTCGTATGTCGTAGAAAAACTATATGTGTGACATTGTTTCACTGCGTATAATATACACACAGTACACATACTCGTACAGTGACCTCTAAATCAATGCCCACACGTTTTTATCCAAAACATAGGTTCCTATTTAGCTAAATAGGAATTCAGTTTCTAGAAACTCTCCAAAAACCATGTCATATGTGACGTTATTGACGATACACTCACACGCATGCAATTATACGTACGCCGTTTACAGATCACTACGCGTGTTTTGAGTATAAATATATATGTATAAAATAGTATTATACGTAACGGTACGCTATAGATGTCTTATATTATAATTAGCATTCAGGATTAGTTCTGAGTGCTTTTCCAAACGCACATCGAGTCATACCGCGTAACTAGGGACTTATTACAGTATCATCTAAACATTATCTAAACATACCGAAAAGCATTCTCCCACTCCCTATGATAAACATTTTTATATTATAATGTATGCATGTACACAGATATTATAATATCATGTATACACCGTTAGTGTTCACTTATCAAGATATGGCCGAGAAGAGTGCTGATTTCATGGTAAAAACAAAAAAAATAATAACAATAACAATAATTATAATTGCTTATATCGCAGAGGTACATTACAATAGTACTATAAATTCAAACATCGAAACGTTCTATACAAATAATGTGATTTAATCTTTTTACATTTCAATGTTAGATATATAACGTGAGATTTTTTTACTGTTGTTATTATTTTATTTTTTTTCATCGACCGTTAAATCGAATAAAGCGACGCACTTGGTGTAGTAATAAACGACCTAACCAACCTGTGTATTAACACGACTATAAGAAGTGGTTGAAAAAAAAAGTAATAATAAAAACCTTCGAGTGTACCTATACGTATATACCTATAGTATATTATCGAACTCCGAATAATGTAACACATTATACGAAAATCAATGCGTTTTATTGTACATTTAACACATCGTTCTTTTGAAAACGAACCATATTTTTGTAACCCGATGATGATAAAATAATAGCTTCAATTTGAAAAAGGCGCAAATATGTTGAAGTCACATCATAATATTTTACTGTATCACTATAATTTTCAAGCGCGTATTATGAATAAAAATGTAATATATTTATTTGTTATATTATAAATTCCACGAGAATGTACGACATCGTTTAGCGTATTTATATATATATAGTATGTTTAGTATTGAGAGAGAAAAAAAATAACTACTACTTTACAAGGCATAACAGCTCTTCTTTGCAATAAATGGTAAAAAAATTAAAATAAAATAATTATTAGAAATTAAAAGAATTTCTAATCTTTTCTAATTGAATTATTAAAAAGGAAAAATGAGTGTATTGACTTTTAAAATTTGAAAAAATCAAATATATCACTACGACTGATGTTCATAATATGTTTTACTCTAATCGTCACTTAAAACTTAAAAGATATCAGAAATTAATCTTGTTCGAGTTGAATGTACATTGATATATGTAAATTGATTTTTGAAATATTTTTGTACCAAGTTTACATGTACATTAAATTAGTAGATCAGCCGGTACGATTGCACACAAATAACGGTTTTGAATATATCTGAATAATATATGTAATAACTTTCAACAAAATAATAGGAATAACTATAATAATTATAGTACACTTATAATATTGTTAATTTTTATTTTCAAGGCAGAATTTTAGAACTTATTTAAACACTATACTTTTACATTTCTCAGAGCAAATAAAAATAATGGTGAAAAATAAAAGGACAACCGAAATACTCTGTATTTTACGTATATTTTATTTATACTGATGATTGTATTGGCCAGAAACGCAATGTTAAAAGTGATGTATTTCGTTGTTTTATAGTTATGAAGGGATAAAACATCTTTTAAAAAAAATGCAAAGTTCACTGTTGGGCGTAACATTGTTACTTTTATTAAGCATTTCGTGAAAGCTACGCCCTATCGAAGTCGGTGGTCATTTTTAAAAAAACAATATTTGATCAGTTTATAAAACGCTTTTCAACTATATCATAAACAAATCGTACACCCATTTAGACATTTGAAACGTAAAAAAAAAAAAAAGAAAAAAGAGTATAGGAAGGCGCCAAACACGTAGCGTAATACACATCAATCTTAATTTTATACAAACACCTGTCCGTTCGGTCGATCAAATCGAATATTTATTGAAAAAGAAAAAATAATTGATTTAACCACCATAATAAACACAATTTTTCTGGACACGCCATAATGATCAATCGGACTGAATATTTTATTATAAACGAATCAAAATTATTTCCTCCACTACAGTAGTGCGACTTGAAGTGTAACAGTTGTCGTTGGCGTCAAATGCCTAGAGTCAGAAAATGTCGGGATTCTTTTTTTTTATATTTTACTAAATCACACGAAGTCGAGAATTCAAAAAACAATAAAAAAATTGTATACTATTTCGGTGGATAAAAAATGTGTGATTACGTAAACGAAAAAATGTGTCATAAGTTTTTTTTCGCACGAAAGGACAGTAAATCAAATCGGGAAACAAATGTCGAAAAGGTTTTACGGATTCCCCGACGGGTATGGAAAACAAAAACATTGGCACCAAGAGGCAGTTAAGATATGTACTCACCGATATTGACCAGCTTGATGTTCTCGTCGTCGAGGAACTTGAGCGCTACGGACACGTTCTCGAGCTTCTGCGATCGGAACGTGGGCCGCTTGTTGTGCTTGGGCAGTCGCTTGCCGCTGAGTACCTCGATGAGGGCGATCAGCCGCAGCCCGTCGCCCAGGTCCGTTTCCAGATTGCCAATCGCCTTGCCGGCCGTCTTAAGGTGCTCGTTGGCCCATCGCGTGAACGTGTTCTGCTGGATAAGCTTCCATCGCGCGTCCTCAGCCAAATCCCGTTCGGCGGCTCCCATGTCGTCCTCTTGACTGCCGGCCGCGTCGTATCCGTCCGGCTCGTCCGCGACCGTCGGGGCCGCCACAGCCACCGCCGCCGCCGTCACAGCTGACATACCGGTTTCGGTGCGGTTGCGCGTGCGCGAGAATGTGAGCCTGCGCGTGTGCGCGCGCGGTTTTGATGAGTTATTCTAACGGCTAAGCGGCGCGTGTCAAAGGGTGGGGAAGTGGAAGAGAACGACAACACGCGCTTCTCCGAAGCGACACGACGACGACACTCACGGTGCTAGTGGTGGCGGCGGCACTGGCGTAGGGCGGTGGTGGTAGTGGTGGCGGGGTACGTAGCGCCCTCTGCTGACGTGTGCGAATGTTCCACCTGCGAAATCATCAAGTCAAAACGATATTATTATTATTATTTTGCACCGGTCGAGTACTAACTATATGACAGGGATGGCAAATCCTCGGCAAACGAAAAATTAATATTAACTTATTCGATTACGTTTAATGTTCGGTATGAGAATATATAATAATACCACTACGTAATTGTTAGCATTTTATCAATTGTTTCATCTACTCGTTCACGCGAACCACTCTTTTCGAAACAAACCTTATCGATTCCCAGTGGTGTCACATGTACTTCATTGAAAGTTCGAGAGTTATAAACCGATTCAAATCGAGTCAAATCGAACGAAATAGTTGAATACTTAAGTGATTTTATTTTCTTAACCGATTAATCGAAAATTAAATAGAATTTTATAATGTAGCTATTAGAAATATCCAAAATTATTTCAAAATATTGTTGTCAATATTGTAAACCAAATGCTCTAATAGTTCTGTTTAATTATATAAGATTACAAACAATACATGCGAAGGTTCTGCGTTTGCACCGCAAGCTTCGTTTTGTAGTCAATTAACGAACAACAAAAAATAAAAAATAAAATTGTAATTAATTATGGTGTACAATGAATAAAATGGATAGCATTGCATTGCATTGCACGTGTATAATATAAATTATGTTATGTTTTATTGTTTTAAAATAATTTACAATTATTATAATTAATACATTTAATAAATAATATAAATAATAGAAATACCATTTATAATATTGATCTTCGCTCAGAATTATTTTTATTAAATTTTACTTGATATATTAATTTTAATATTTAATGTACTTGTATTAAAATTAAAATTGTTAGAAAACTTCACGCCGGCACCTGTATGCGATGAAATATATGTATTAAATTTTACTCTTTAAACCTCTGATCGGTGAACGTTTAAAAAGGTATGCACTAATAAAAGTAAAAAAAATCGAGAACCAATTTGCATGTGCCAAAATTTTGATGACTAGTCATCGTTATTTTATAAATTGTCAAAAAAATCAATAGACGTACTCGTAGGTACATTTTGGAAAGATCATAGAGACGTATGGTTGAATTAAAATAATATGTGACATAAGAACTACACACGATAGGTTTGTTTACAATTACCACATAAAGAAGAACTTATAGCCACAATATTTACGTACAATATCGATAAGTTAAATAAATCTATATACAGTTTATGATTATCAATAATTTTATATTTTTAGGCGTAACTCGAAACTGTATTAAAATATACCAAACACTATACATGTATCATTAAAATAATGTGTGGGTGGTGCTACGATTTGTTCAATAACGGAGCATACCACGGTTTCGAGAATTTATGTACATAACACTATTCTTTTTATATTTTAAAAATCTACACCGATAGTATCGAATCCATCCGGAACACCAATATTGTTTTCTTTTTTAAGTTTTTTTTTTAAAATCAATATCATTTTAATTTCAGCATTTATTTGTAATGCTAAATCGTCGTCAAAGATAATGCTGTAAAATTAACACAAATAGTATTTTATTGGCTGCATCCGAATCGGGTACCAAATTAAAATTACTACACTAGTTGAGTCCCGGATTTTTATAAGTGCTACACTAGTTCCTGAATATTTTTTGGTAAGTACTATATTATACTAACATTTTCCTTCCCATTTTAACATACTTAGGACTGTCTATGATCTATTTAGACCACAGGTATGGTTAAAAACGTTTTTTATAGTTTTTGTTTTTTAGTTTCTTTTCCATTAATTTTTATTTATATTATATAATGATTTTAACATTTTTAATATTTTTACTAACACAATTCTAATAATTTATATTTTAATGAAAAAGAAACTAAATAAAAAAAAAAAAAATTATAAAAAACATTTCTAACCATACCTGTGGTTTAAATAGATCATAGACAGTCCTAAGTCTGTTAAAATGGAAAGGAAAATGTTAGTATAATGTAGTACTTACCAAAAAATATTCAGGAACTAATGTAATACCTAAAATAATTCATGACCCAACTAGTGTAGTACCCACAAAAATCCGGGACCCAACTAATGTAGCACCTTTAAAAATCCGGAACCCAACTAGTACACTACCTACGATTAACCCCTAGTACTTGGGACCCAACTTGAATGCTCCGATTTTATTTCTACATTATCTAAAATTGTTCATGTTATATAAAAATAAAAAAACAGTATAAAATATAAATTATTAATAAAAAATATAATATTATACCAGGTATTGTAGTACAGTAAAATTGTAAACTATTAAACCATATTTAATATTTATAGTTAATACCTAATTAATTTTATTTATATAAACTTTATAAAATTTATATAAACTGTACGTGTAGTAATTACGATAAAAAAAAAAAAATAATAATAATACGATAAGCTCATCGGTAATATTTTTTTACCTTAATATATTTATTATAAATTTTATTTATTTATTTTTTTTTTAATAATATCAACGTTAGTATGTTTTGATAAATATAAATATACCTAGATATTAAATGATAAAATGTTATTATATATAGATATTTTCTAACACTTCAGGTATAACGGGCATTAATTTAAATAGTGTACTAACGAATATGGAACCAAAATAAACTAATGCTCCCGAATGAACTTTTTTTTGTAAACTGCATCTTATTGCAACTTTATCTTTGTTGGTTAACTATAATGTAAACTGCAACCAATTTTTAATTCATGTTAAAAAGGTACTACTTAAGCTGCTTCTCGTTTACAAAATATACAAAACGTTTAACTTATTAAAGTTTCTATGATTGTGTACTTTTTCAATTATATTACAGAAATGTTATTTTTGACCAAAACCATAGTATTTGTAAAAATACATCTCCGAATAATTATTACAGTAATACGACTATTGATGGTTATCACTACATTCAGCATAGGTCAGCTAGTACCAATAGTATTTACTAAAATAAAATCACAATGGCCGAACAATTCGTGTCGCAGAGCAAAAAGTGCTTGAAAATTATTTCAAATATTAAATTTTGTAAAATTCATCGGTCTCTAAGTTTGGGTGAGGTTAGTGGCAATATGCAATCAAAACTTGCACAGCATTTTAAAAACGGTAGGTGATGATAACAGAATTATTGAAAAAAGTTTAAACCATAACCATGAATCATAAAGTTATCAAAACCTGTCATATAATTCTAGCTTTTATAAAACTCATCCAAATATTTTCATGTTTATAAAAAAATTAAAAGAAATTAAAATAAAAACTTGAAAACTAAAAAACGTAAAAATTTTACAAAATTGAATTAATAAATATAATAGAGATTATTCCAATTGATGAATATGTATCAACTACTAAATTTTTTAAATTATATATATATTTTTTTTTTTATTTTAAATTAAATTATATTAATTATCATCTCATATGAGCTGTAATGAATTAATTATAAATTAAAGATTGAAATGTTGTTTAATTTTGTAGAAATATTACTATTCATTTTTTAAATTTTATCTGGGCGCCGTTTACATTTTTATTACACTAGATAAAAACACAGATGCAGTTTACTTATATTATTTTGTGTGTTAACTGTGTATTGGTTGCAGTTTACAGTCACAGATTTTTTTTTCCGTTTACAAAGTATTACTACTCCGAGTCAGTGGAAGCATTTTTAATAGTAAATCGATTATTTTTATTGATAAATAATAACATCCTTGCCGAATTCACGTATAAATAAGAAAATATCTAATGAACGCTTCGCCACTGATGGTAGTTTGATCGTAAATAATGTTTGTCTTTTTTAGTGTCTATAATTCGTATGTAAATTCAAATTTAATATTTCTCAGAAAAATATGAACGTTTAAGTGGCACAACGTTTCAACCATTGACCCTTTATTTCTATAGATGTACACATATGCGCGTACAGCAATAAAAAGTTCGAATAATAAATTACAAATTAATAGCTTATACCTATTATATGACTATATGTAAACATTCAGCACGCATCATTGCTAATAATTGTTACTGATTAACGGATGATTACATCAATTTACTCGATAACCACATATTTACTGTATACTAACCAATATCGGAACTATTTCTTACATTCTTTTGTTTCTCCATATATTCGATGTGCGAACATTATCTTATCAGGGGCGACAGAATTATCTTCGTTGACACATTTAACAGTATTTGTGGTAATCATTTTTCAATGATAAATCATCAGATGACGTGGTTACGGGTAATGTCGAGACAAGTTCTAAGTAAAACATTATCAGGTATTATCGACAAATTTAACGCGGAACAGATGTTCCGATTACTAAAATGTATTTGTCAACGTTTGTTATTAAAAAATGTTTTGTGACTATTATTTAGTTGCAATGGTACTGTGTGAAACATAGGAAAATATTAACTCGTAGTCTTTATAATATATAATAATTTTTTCTTAGTTTCAATCAGGAAAGTTGTCAAAATAAATTATTGGCATATGAAAATAATCGCTTTTGGAAAATACCGTGGAGGAAAAATTTGTGTACCAAAATATTGAAAAATAAATAAATATTTTCCAGATTTAAAATAAGAATTTTTTACAATACATTCAAACAAAATTACTATTCTCTTCGCTAAAATAATATATCATATAAATATAATAAAATATTTATTAAATAACAGTTCAATATTTGATCCATATATTACTTATTATGTCATGTAACGGTCACCATTGGAATAGCCTCATTTTAAGTTGTAATATTCAAAATTAATTTAAGATTTATAATCAGGGTTCATAATATAACGCTTGAAATGCAATTACCATTTATTAATGTAAGCGTACTAAAGTGTAGTATATTGTTTACGTACACAGTAGTCTGTTAAAAATTACACTTATTATATTTAGGCACATTATTATACGTACGGACAAACATGAATTTACATGAATTCGAATGTAGGTTTTCGGAAACAAAACAGGTTAAGGTAATGCGAACTTTGGCAAATTTTCAAATCATTAATTCTATTTTTTCACACCGATACGTAA